CCAACAACCAACTAACGCTTATGGTTACATACTACAGGAAGGCTAAACGGTTTCGCTGGAGGGGTTTGTTAGGACAGAGACGTAGCTGCTTATACATTTTATACGTTTTCCATTCACTTCAACTATTTTGTGAAAAAAAAATCAGTATGATTTGTTATTGAAATATATTGCTTGAATCGTTACAGAGAACAAGTATCAAAATGATTCCGAGGTTACAGAGAACAAGTATCAAAATGTATGTCACGATATTTCACTCGATCTATTGGTCATCAGTTTGATTCCGAGGTTACAGAGAACAAGTATCAAAATGTATGTCACGATATTTCACTCGATCTATTGGTCATCAGTTTGATTCCGAGGTTACAGAGAACAAGTATCAAAATGTATGTCACAATATTTCACTCGATCTATTGGTCATCAGTTTGATTCCGAGGTTACAGAGAACAACCATCAAAATGTATGTCATGAAATTTCACCTACTGGTCTTCAGTTTGATTCCCTTGGGTTGCTAATAAGCATATATCTGCATGTGGAATGCCACAATTCAAGGATGTACATTACATAACAATCAATCGTGTCATTTTTAGGACATTTGTTATCACTGAATCTCAACCATATGACAAAATCTAGTTAAAAGTAACACTAAACTAGCAGTTATTCTAGATAAATGCTATGCATCATCTCGGACTAAGTCGTTCACGTAATTGTAAGCAGCAATCTCTGGTTGTTACATTCCATTTAATAAATATTTTAAAAAAGAAAGAGAAAAAAACACAATTTTTATCTGTCATATATCATCAAGAAGACAATACTCTATATACAAAGTTAAGTTTCATTTTAAAAACGATTTTGAACATTTGTAAATAAATACAGGCATGACCTGTGAAGTAGTTTCTTAGCAGGTAAATAGAGTATCACAATGGCCGAAGTAACACTTTGACAACACACCATCATGTGACCTTGTTTCGCATTCAAAATAGGCATATTCTCAAGAACTAAGGGGGCAGGACCAGCTTTCACGGTTGTCTGTATACCTAGAGAGACGAATACCGCAAACTACATAATTTAGACAAGTGCATCATGTGTAGCATTATGACAAACTGTGGACAACACTCTTTAATTTTCAAATTTTATCCAACCACAAGTGATTTACTGTTAACTAAAAGAACACTTATATTGTTTTGGCAAGAAAAGATTTTGTGAATACTATATTTCCTAAAAATCAAATTTTAACAAAAATGGATTTTTATGGAAAACCTTGAAATCTGATTCCCACAAAAATATAGGACTTTACAGTTATTCTATCAAAAGAAAGTATACATTTGCTTGATAACAACTTTAAGTAAAGATTTAAAGTTTTAATGTCTCAAGTCTGATCTCTTAAGACTTAGAATGGCATTCCAGCAGACAAACAGAATTTGAATATAAAACACAAATCAAAGCAAAATTATTCAATTTAGAATTATGATTTAACTGTAAACTTGTGTCAAAATACAGCCGTCATAGTTGCCTGTCTTCCGCATTCATTTAAGATTGCTGACTGGAAGGTTTCTAGTCGTTAAGTCAATAGATTTTGTATGATTTTTCCAGGTGAACCCTGGACACCATTTCCAAAATTTAGAGAAATCCCACTACTCAGAGATAAAGTGACTCCTCAAAACTTGAGGGAGTCCTACAGGAAAATCATGAGTCCAGACCTCAACTATCTAAGTCCCAAAAATCACTATTAGTCAAACACTGAATAATTTCCTGAGAAAAGTCCTTGATATTATGTACTGATACTGTTTTTTATATAACAACTTTGAACTACAAGATGAAATATGAATCTTTATGAATCCAGACATTATGTTAAAAACTATTTCATAGATAAGTATAAATTAAATTTTCCAATGTTCACATAAAAGCCAACTTACCATGGCCAGGAGTTTATATCCTGGGTGTATCTTCTTGAATGCACTTTTGTCAGAAATTTGTAGCGCACATATTTTCTCCCACTAGCTAAGCGACTTCTGATTTTTTTCACAGTATTCATGTTTCAACAATTGGAGGAAAGCTGTTAAAATGTTATATTACTAAAAATATTCCAAGGTTTTTAGACGTTGGCACATACTACATGCCAATTTAATCATCTCCATTATAGACAGTACAAGCTGTTTGCTCAAAATCGAGAAGCATACTTCATTAGAAAAATTACAACCTCACAGACACTGTCAACAGAACAAAATAGCATATATTCTGTTGTTTGTTTAAGTGAAAATGTGCAGTACATGATAAACTTTGATGTGGTCAAATGTTAGTCATGTTTGTATAGAAATATGAATGCCTTGTGGCTATACTGTATTGTCAAGGAATGCAAGACACAATTCTTGCTAAAATTGACAAGGCAAACTAGAGACACTAGATCCATTAGCAGTTAACAATTTACAGCAGTCACACTCCAATTGGTAACTGCATATATTTCTTTGAAGAAATTTGATGGACTAAATGTTTGTTTCAAGTAAGAATAGGAGGATTAGCCATTCTTTCAAGGTTTGCTTCAAATTTTCTCTCAGAAATATTATTTTGTTAATAATATCAATTATTAGAAAGAAAATTACTGAGAATTACATTCATAAAGTTAAAGTAACATAATCATCCATATAATCTTCTACATGTATTTTATATAGAAACTTGTTCAAGTCGTGGCATTTTGACCTGTTACAATGATGTCAGAGTACCTATTATTATATACAATTTATAAACATTTAATAACCTATAATATTTAAAATATCAATTAAAGAGAGTAAAAGTTCACAACAAATGTGAGACTGTACTACTTAGTGTATGTTTCACAACAAGATCAAATGTATAAGCACAGGAAAAAATATATGTTAATGGTAAATAAAGCTTAATGGGCAAAATTACAGGAATTGTTAGACAATCAAGCATAAGTAAATAAAGGACGCCATAGATATGTAACTTGTCTACATAAAAAACAATTGGTTAGCTGATAATTTTGACCAAATTCTTATCATTGTGAAATAAAATCTTTTGCACTTCAGATACAAATTTATGACCTTTGCTTCCACAATTTGAACTTTTGGTCATGCAGATGACATCTTGTTTGATCAAAGTTTACAATTTTGCTTAGCATAATGTCATAAAAGGAAAGTTGACCATGATATTTTAAATACATGGATTTTTTCACAATAGTTGAACTTTTCTTTAATTAATTGTAAGTACATTTATGTATAAGGAGATTTGAACTTACAATCAAATTATAATTGATTGTACAGTGTTCCTACATTAGAATAACTGAAGTTGATAAAATCTTCAAATCAATGTCTCGCAGCATATAATTTCAATGTCATACTGATGGAATTTGTACCCGGAATTTCATTTGTCTAAAAGGGACCATAAAAACTCTGAAGGCAGCTTTACCTTCACTGTAGCGTTGGGCATAGATCAGAGGTAACAGATACTTAGGGCAGTTTAAGTTTCTTTGAAGGTTGAAAAAACAGACCATCCTTCGCTGTCCTGTTTGCGCATTTGGACAACACATGTAACACATATCAGTCATTTAGTCCAATGAGGTCACTAACAGCTACTACAAAGACTCAAAAGAGCTGTCGATAGGGAAATACCAACTAAATCAAACAATCAATTTAACATCACATTATGTGTATTTGTATCAAAGGCTGTGGACTTAAAGTCATCATAGAAGTTAAGAACCCTTCAGGTTCCATTCCAAATTTGTAATTTCAACCTTATTTGAAATGAACACCCTGTGAACCAAAATTTGGCAAAGTCATTATACTTTCTGAGAAACAGAATATAAATGTAACATATTCACACTGATCTGGACTCCAAGCAGAACTTATTATACTACAGGTATCAGTTCAGAGTCGGTTCCTTTGTCACAGCCAGACAAAACGATTTCACTACTCATTTACATACATTATCTAGTTGTGTGTCTGAAAACTAGCATAAAAAAAGTGAAAATGAAAATAAGAAGAACTTTTTAAACGAAATTAAAAGTACCGATGTTAATTAAAATTTGTAAGATTTAAAAAGATAGTTATCGCAGCATATATAATGCGACCTACTTTTTACTGTGATACCTCAACGTCAAGCACATCTGAAATTTTAATTTATCCTATAGTGCTGTTTATGTAAATGTGATGAGAAGAAATTCCAATCATTTGAACATCAAACATTTTACTTTCAAGAAATTGTTTCACTTATTCTCTGTAATCTTGATTTATTTATAACTGACACAAGCTTAAGGCATATCATATGACTTACTAGCTCAAACATTTAACGAAATCTTACACCTACTGGTACATATGGAAAGAAACATTTAAAAGTTATTTAACGAATTTAACCATATTTAGACTTCAGTGTATATAGATATATATATATACACATATATAAGATATTTAGATGCAGATAATTATGCCTGATGGTACAACATCTCAGTGCATGTATAGACTTACCCGATGACTGTCTGGGTGTATGTAGTTAACACCTATCATGTTTTATATTTAAATATTATTCATATAATATATTCATAAACAATAGGATACAAAAATATACAGACCAGTGCATCTTAAAATGTGTAAAACATACTATTGTGAAAAAGCCACCCAAATTCTATCTAAAAAGATATTTATATAATTATTGATATGTATTTAAATAACAAAAACAACACAGATATCAGTCATTTATAACACATAACAGCTGATTTTGCGACTAACTACGGATATATATGACACTGAAGCACTACAAATGTACCGTTACTTTGTAACTACTACATGTTTATATGGTATATTTATAATCAATCACACTATGAGCTACAATGATAACCCTGTAGCAGTAACTATATAGGTAGCTATTCTATAAATCATTTATCATTACAGTGGCTTGTTCCTTAGATTTTAATTTCTACCAAAGTTTGTGAAAATAAATTTTTTCACATGCTAACTTTTAATAAACAGTTCCAAACTGAATATATGACTTACCGTGGAGTAAAACCAAGCTTCTCAAAAGCTCTCTCTTTGAAGGATGGTCTTTTTGTTGTCATGGTTGCAACACAGGTACACTAGGTCTATCTGAAAGTTTCCTGTCCTTTTTCAATCTCCATGATAGAAAACTTTTCACCAACTACAACAAAAACACATTTCAGTAAAATACTGTACATTTATGTCATCAAAATTGTAATGGGAAGAAATGCTTTAACATAAGCTATACCTCGAACTTGTATCTAATATTAGTCCTTTTTTTCGCTTATCTATTGATGTAGGTAAGGGGCGATTCAAACATCAATATAAAAAGATACAGTATAGAATACTAACAGCATGATATATCTAGTCATAAACTCTGTTTTTACCAACATCAGGTATATTTACCTGTTTATACTCATCAATTAATAAAAAAAATATATAGAATTCATCACATACATATAGGCAACACATGTTTCCAGGTAATAGAACTGTAACAGCGTGATATTGATACAACAAAAGTAGCATCTCTAAACTTTAGATATTATCATGATGAAAAATATATCTTGACAATTCACTTTATATTAAACCTCTAACATCCAGACTCAATGTAGCAATATTGGAAGATCACTAAACTGCAGGCTTTTAACTGTATTGTCCAATGATCACAACCTGCTACAGCATATAGTCAAAAGGAATGAAAATTTCAAGTTTTTTATCATATTTAAATTTTTTTACCAACTTTCTAAGCTGTTGAACAGTTAAAAATAGTAACCTACAAACTTAAGATGACTGGTTCTGACAAAATGAGATTAACTGTAAGGATTCTGTCTTGTAAGCTTTGTCCAGTAAAAGAGAGGGGCCTTAATTACATAGTCAACAAAAATCCAAAAACTTGAAAGTCAGTCTAAAAATAGTATACATTTCATCTCCATCATTTCTTAAAGGTTATCCACAAAAACAACAGTTAAAGAAGCTGGGAGCTGGAGTTATACATTATTTACACAGCTATACTACTGAAGACATTCTTGGGTACGAGGGCTGAATGATAAGTTGCAAGTCTCATATTTGAGTGTTTGATTTTTGGCAGACCTTCAGTATCTACACACTTTAACAGCGATGTTTAAAGGCTTCAATGCCACTTTTAAAGAAGTCCTTTTCTTGACTGTTCAGAAAATCCTCCACTGCATGTATGACATCATCATCTGGTCAATAGTGGGAAACGGAAATTGCCTTTTTCAATTTTAGAAATAGACAAGAGTCTAATGGAGCCAGATCAGGGGAATAACGCTGATGCTCAATCAATTCAAGGCCACAATTGTTAATGGCAGCCAGGGCAATGACAGACATGTGAACAACACACCTTTTTCTGAATTTCCACAGCACTTGAGTTAAATATTTTCTCTTAACTGCCTAATAAGTGATGCACAATATGTGTCATTGATTGTCCCTTTTTCAGATAATCTACCATCAGCATCCAAGAAAAGCCAAAAACTTTCCAGCTGATGAAAGTCTTTGCCTTCTTTGGAGAGGGAGGAGGGGTGAAACAGGATGCTGCCATTGTTTAGATAGTCAGTCGATCTCTGGGAAAATGATGAACCAGCGTTTCAGCCTTAGTCACAAACCTCTGCAGAATGAGGTACCAAACAGGCTGAGAGCTTTCTCAATGCAAGATCTTCTGAAAAAAATGGAATGTACTTTCTTCTAAAATGCCAACTGCACTGGCTATTTATCTCTGTGTAAATCCCCTGTCAGCCATAACAATATCATGGACTTTATTGACCATTTTTGGGGTTGCAACAGTGACAGGCATTCCCGGACAGGCATAAAACCAAAGGTTCTGTCTGCCATGCTTAACTTTCACTATACACCTTTTCACTGTAGCATATGAAGGAGCATCATTCCCTAGTGTTCCTACCATATCAGTATAAATATCCTTAGGTGCTAGACCTTTCTTATGCAAAGATTGAATCACTGCTCTACCAGTGATTTTGTCCATTTTGCAGAACTCACTTGCCTTGTTTACTTTAGAGTGCAATATAAATTGACCCAATGACACCAGCTTTGGGTACACATCCTTAAAGAGTCTGGGAATAGTATAACTGAAAAAGAACATCCCTGCTTAACTTCTTTATTACAAGGCTCACAGCCTATCAATCAGCCCTCGTAAATGAAGCTATTTGGAAAAAATCTGACAATTAATTCTTCACTTATTCATAAAAACTCCAAAGAGAGAGCCAACGCCTGTAGTTTAGAGTTCAGTGATGTTCAGTCATCCACTATAAAGAAACCTAAAACTTACCATCCATGACTTGTTGTGATCTACCACCTCCCTAGATTTCATTTATTCATATTGCAATGTTGTATATGCTTGCTAGTATATCTATTTCGACTCCAAAATACTGATCTCTAAATCATTCTGCCAGTCATTACTGACTTCTGAAAAGTATAATACCTGTTTCTATTCAACATAACACTATGATATCTATAAAATGAAGTCAAATATCTTTCAGTACTTGTATTTCAGACTGTGTCAATATTCAAAAGCAAGCCAATCAACGAACATTTAACTATGACAGGTCCGAAACCACCAATTTACATTTCAGGAATGCAGTCACACAGCACATGCTGGGACAGGATATGAAACCAAATCTGTTTCTGTTCTCATTGATGTTTTATAAAATATTATAAATGATAAGGAAGGTCAAGTACTGATTGGCTAAAACGTAACTTCTGAAATAAATATTGTCTTCAATAAAGTATTAAAATGCAGTAGAAAAATTAACATGCATGCATAAGCAAAAAAGTACTTTCTATCACACTGGGCGGATTTCACTAGGGTCAATTCTTTGTTTTGCAGTACACAGCTGCATTTAATTTGTGTTTATCTACTAAGTTTGTCATGCACCCAATCAAATAAGGAATATTTATATATACATTTATATGAAATGATCACGATCACTCTGTTTTAAACTTCAGATGAAAAGTCAACTCCTGGCCAAGTAAAAATCAAAGCTGATGTTGATCACCTGCAAAATAACCAACCAATTTTAAAGGGGATGAATATCAACCATCAAATTTTTAATTATTAATACATTTTGCAATAAAATCAGTGCAAAATGTACACGGAAACAATCTAAAGTTTAGGGCCTCACTCTGTGTCAGCTAAAACATGCACAACGTGACAGCGAGACATGAAAGAAAATTTCAATCAAGGAGATTGTAATTACCTGGCTTGTGTGATAAGGAATATGAAACCAGAGATATTTTTATGTTATAAATACAGTCACGAAACAATTATTGGATGAATTTTTTCTTGTAATCGATTTCCTTCTATACTAAATAAACATATAACAAGATGACGCCGTCCTCAAGTGTGAAACACATATTTATACATGTGTACTATTGGCATTTGCAGAAAATTTATCTCTCTGCAACTCCACTAATTTTACAAATATTGACACGAAACTCAGTACAAGCGTGTATTATAATCATAGTAACAATATATTGCTTACTTATTTTGAGTATTTTAGGAAATAGTGTGTGAAGACGCATCACGATTACCCATGATATTTGTATTTAGCGTACACAGACAGGGCTATCGATCTGCCAGATTTGGGGCCGAATGCAAAATAGTATCTTTTTTTCCCAATTTAGACCCCAAGTTTTCCCAATTCTAAGGAAAACACAGCTATTTTTCCCAAATCTAAGGGCCCTGAGCCCCAGTACCAAAATAGGGGTGTGAGAGCTCTGACAGATGTGTCAAGCCGTTGTTCTCACTAGAGTAAAATCATCACAACTCAAACTTAGTATATCAATGTATTGTACTCATATTAACTACATATCTTTTGATGCTACTGGCTTTATTTTGTATTTTAAGATCTATAGAATTGAAGACGTTGTCTCCGAGTGTGTCACACAATGTACAGTGCCGCCAGAGAATGAGGAAAATTTCTGCCACTCCATTACTCCACCAATTTTACAAATATCAACATGAAACTTAATAAGAAGGTGTGTTATCATCATATCTATGATGTTACTAATATTTTATCATTTCAAAATATCCTTTCTGAAGAGTCTTTACAATTCTTACTGTCACTGATTATCACTGACTTTTAGAAAGACCGCTGAGAATAGATGTTAATGATCCCATAATTCTTTATGTTCTGCCATATTGTCTCGCCTCCAAGAATCCATTGCAAACCAGAGCAATGCTAATCCATGATTGATGCCAATCTCAAACTGAATATTTTCACAAAGACCTCATCTGTCAATGTTTGTAAGGTTTTAGTACAATACTTGATTGTCTCATAGTGACAGTATGTGTGCATGACACTTTTTTTTAAAGATGGCGGCATTGCTTATAGTATATGACTGCCGTAATGAGTCACTGATATATCGCCATTCAGAAAGGTAGGTTTATAGTAACAGCTAGTTCAAAAAGCTTAACCCATAACTCTGTTACATTTAGGAGGATAAGAAAGAGAACTGATATTGGTAACCAATGTCAGATTTAATGTGTCTGCCAAGCTGCAAATATCTGAAACTGATAAAAACGTGGCCATGCATGATTAGTCGACAATTCTGTAAAACTAATTTTCATATATGACAAGTCAAGAGAAAAAAAACAAGTGAATTATAAGTCCTGTTCTTTCTGGTAATCTACAAACTGTAATTGACGCAAAGTCAAAAAGGATTAATTGATCCGACATCATTACTATATATCTACAGGTAAATTTCATTCATTGTGTATATTTTTGGTTGGTACACTTGTAAAGATCCCAGTAACCTATCTTGAAGCCTCAAAGACAACAATAACTTACAGAGGACTTCAAACAAATAATGGAAATCGAGGTTCAGATTTTTTTAAAAATTACATTAAATTGATAATTAGGACTGTCTTTTAAAATGGGGGACTGAAACAATATAAAAGTCCAATATCAAAAAAGCAACAGAAACAAGAAATCACTTCTAAAATGTAACTAAATAAAAGTTTTGACAGATGTATCTGTAATGCAATGTAACTTTCTGTTTGATAAACATCGTCCATCTAAAGAACATTTGGAATTAGTAAGCAGAGAAG